TTCCACTGTGTCACAAACGACTCGTCGCTCTGGCGTGTTGTATTGTGTGGCATCACAGGTGCTGGCTTGCAACTCAACGCAAGACGTACACGGTGATGTCATTTGCAATGCAACCTGTACACTGTGATGTCGCTTGCAATGCAACACGCACACGGTGATGTGTCATTCGCAATGCAAATGTATTCGGTGATGTGTCATTCGCAATGCAACACGTCTACAGTGATGTCGTTTGCAACGCAACACGTACACGGTGGTGTGTCATTTGCAATGCAACGCGTAGACAGTGATGTCGTTTGCAATGGAACATGAATATGGTGATGTCATTTTGAATGCAAAAAGTGTATGATGATGTCATTCGCATGACCTCTACAGGCTTGAAAGAAACCCTGGAGCATGCGACCAAAACACCAAAGAAAGTGAGGAGAAAATGACGAGAACCTACTTTTTAGCAAGCGCTGCCACTGCAGCCATAGCTGTTGTCGGCTGTACCGGTGTGTCATCAGACGATTCACTCAGCTGACTAACAAGCCTGGGAGAGCCACGCAAGTTGCGCAGGATGTCCCAGGCCTTCTTGCCGTTAGTTGGCGTTTCGCAAGGATGGATGCGCGCGGTCTTCCCCTCATCGCCGACTTTAGTGGTTCTCGGTGTCTTGCCGCCCAAGACAGCAGACGCTACAGAGCTGGCAGCATTGTCTTCACCGTTGGAGGACTTGCGTGCTGGTGTCGTGGCTTCTTTCACACTGTTGATAGTCACAGAATCCGCAGATGGCTGGTTTGAGACTTTTCTTCTGCTGGAAGCACTCTGTGAAGAGGTGCGTGGCCTCTCTTTCTCACTGTTTGCTTTGTAGGATACACTGTATGTTCGTTTACTGCGTTCAGGCTGTTCCTTGGCCACATTCAGTGGGATGACCAAGCCATCGCTGGTCCTGCGGTTGTGCAGTACATTTCCAAAGCTCGCCGAACGCCCATGCGGTTGCAGGCTCTCCTTGGGCGACTGAGATCCAGGAGCCAGCGAACTGGTGGAAGTATCGCGGCTGCGTTTGGCAATGTGCACGAACCGTGACACCAGGAGTGCTGCTGTGAAGCTGCTGCTACTGCTGCAGACGAGAGAAAATATATTTTAAAACATCCAGAATTATAATCAGAACAGGAACACACCAAAAATGACTCAATTTCAATGCTCGGTCTCTCCTCTACTACAATCTATGGAGCATTCTACAAGCAACTGACAGCTGCTGAGGATTACTAACTCAGACGGACAGCACTGCAAGAGAACAGCACAACATACATGTATATCTAAGGCAGGGAAATGCAGGCCTGTGCATTGTAAGAGGAAAGTGCGGGCCTGATGTGCCCTCTGAATGGATGTTGGGAAAGCGCAGATCAATGAGCGTTCAATAGAGAGGTTTCGCTTCACGTTGTTCTGCACTACACCGTGAAATTTCACGTCGGTGTGGCAAATTTTGGCGTCGAAACTCCCGTTCATGACGTGAGCTGAGGTCAACTCACGTTCGACGTGAACGCGAGTTTTTGCAAATTTAGCCTTGCTATCAGGTTGGGATTATTGACTCGATTTGTCGATTTTGCCTAAACTAGCTATAAATAATATTTGTGCGACTTTGGCCTCACCAAAAATCACTTTTTTCACTTTTTGAAGTTTTTGCTCCCAGTTTTCGCTCCTGTCGTCAGCGACACGACGTGCTTCACAAGCAACGTGAAACGAAAGCTCTTTCTGAGCTCGCGTCGACGCAAAAAATTGACGTTCACGTAAGAGCACAAATCACGCGGGTCGAAACCTCTCTAATAGCAAAAGACACGAATGGACATACACAGATAGAGACACCTTATCTTTTCATTGCCCTAACTTGGTAACAGCAGTTGCAGGATCCTAATCTCCACAGAGAATGAACAGGGTATTCTAACACCAGTTACGGCATAAGAGAATTTCAAATGCGCGCTGAGCGGTGACAAGTATGTCTGCCGCAGCAGAACAGCCAAAGCCTGAGCCTGTTTTCACACTCAGCATTCCGTATTCTCAAACGGATCTAGCAGCCACAGTGCTGCTCAATGAAATCCAGTCGATGCACTCATGTATGCGCCGAGCGTTGCGCAGCCCTAGACCTGCGAACACTGGGCTTCAAAATGGTGCAAGGCGCAAACTTGAGTGCCGTGACTAGATCTAATTGAGCAGGACTGTAGCACACTAGTGGAAGCCTAATGTCAGTCCAAGCACTCAGCATATAATGAGCCCTCCTTCAACATACCTCTGCTCTTCCTTTTGCTTGCCGGTCCGCGATTCGTCATCACTTAAACTCGCTGTAGGTGACGCTGGCTCACTTCGCGGGTTGCCCCTGAGTCCTTTGCAAACAGCTGCAGAGGGTAAGGTGCAGTTCGAACATATACTTATTTTTTTACCAAAGGTAGATTATGATGAGAATCGTAGGCAAACATGCAGACAAGCACAGCCCTGGCTGGGGCCCATGGGCATTTTCAACCATTCATCATTCGAATTCGCAGGATCGCAACGGATCGTATCGATGTGATGATGATGCAGGCATACGTCATGGTGCGGACGGCCATACAGTGCCATTCACTGTAGATTGTAGCAAGATTGCTATCCCCACCTACTGTAACTCTACTTGAAAATTTCGGCGCCTAGTAAATTTTCGGCCTCCCGCGGCTAAAACACATTTCGGCCGCATTAAAATGTCGGCCTGTACTGCTGCTGCCTGTATACACTGTCACACTGAACCTTGCAAAACAAAATTTCGGCCGGAACAAAATTTTGGCCAAAGATGCTCAGGCCGAAAATAAATATGCGCCGAATATGTGTTGACGTACATGCGAGCTGTTGTTTATTATTATTATTACAGACTAACAGTACGTACTAGTATTGGTTCACAGCAATCTCAGTCAACACATACCTTCCATGATTTCAGCACCATCGCTCTCTTTCCACACAAGCGAGCGCGCCTTTGGGAAGAAGGTGAGGAGCAAGCGCTTTGTGAGATCAAACCACCATGCCTGCAGTTTGCAATGCGTGCAGTTCAACAATGTGTGAGGCTCAGACCTGGAGAAAACAGGGCGAAAACACAACACATCTCACTTTTTCAAGATCAGGCTCCAACAGGTTTGTCATCACCTCACTGGGCAGACCTCTTGCCAACCAGTGGTGATACATTCACCATATACACTGCCAATCAATGCGTGCTGTGTACGCTGATCCCGAGGCCTTTGGCCGGGGGAGTATACCGCATACCATCAGCACAGCTTATGAAGCGCCTACAAACACATTGTTGTACTTTTGTTTTGCTGTGATTTTGTTGCCCTTCTTTCCGTAAGTATGGGCAATGCAATAAAATCACACACACGCACACGCACACACACACACTTCTTGTACAGACTTTGTTAGAGTCATTCACAATCACATGTCTTACTTTGAAGTCTCCCGATAGATCTCATCATGGTTACCCCAGTCAAACTGAAGCATCAGCGACAGGAGTTGATTTACCATCACATTGTCCACCTTGGCATCTGCTAGATCTTTCAGTCGGCTGTCACTCATCTGAAGTACACACAAACACATATACACACAAGTCATTAGCAGTCCAAAGCTCTCCCACAGCACATACATGAATTTCAGCATAGAACACAGCAGGAGGCGACTCAACGGAGATGAGAAGATAGCTTTAGTAGTGGACACAAGTAGATATAGAGAGCTAAGAAATGTATAGAGATCCGTGCTTCGTGCTTACCAGCAGGACGAGCGCATCAACCATGAACACTGATCGAAGAAGGTTGGCACAGGAATCGGGTATATCCATGGGAAAGGGAACACTTGGTATGGTCTCTTGAGACTGCAGTGCACACAGTCACAAAAACAGCTCTTGCAAAATAAAACGAAAGGATCTTTCAAACAGCATACCCCGATGCCCCAGAGATTGGCAGAGGACTGTGACATGCATGAGTACATTACACTCACTACATTGCACAAAATTAGCCTGGTGAAAAGATACCGCATAGGCGCGAAGAGAAGCCCCTGGTCTCTATTTTTTCTTTCTTGCAAAAGACGCATTGAGGGGGAGGGGGCTCTATTCGAAACGGGCCTTTATTTTTATAATGGAAAATGAATGTTTGCGAGCGCGCAGAGTTGCAAGGCTGACTGGTGACTCTCTTCAAAGGGCTCTATTGGAAGAGAGAGAGAGAGAGAAAGAGAGGGGGGGGGGTTGAGTGAGTATGGTACGTTTCGAAGAAATGAATGGGACATGCTCACAAGCGTGATGAAGTGTTCTTCACTACTACATGTACATGTACTATCAAGAGTACATGAAACCCAGATTGTGCAGCTTGGGTCTTTTCTGCATGCTTGCCGATTACAGCGAAATTCCTGGATTGCATATCATAGTTGGTGCAGATATGCGGTGGGAGGTGGTGCAGTGGGTACCAGTGAGCTGCAGCTGTGCAGAGAGGCTTGCCTGAATCTTGCTCGTACATACTGCATCACAAAATGAGGTGATCCAGGAATTTTGGCGAGACGGCAACCCATCCGAGCTGCACACTCTGGGTTTAATGCACTCTTGCTAACATGTGACAATCAAGCAGTGTCAAACTTTAACTAGGATGCAGTGAAAAGGATAGTTGGTCCATAGAGAGCTCAGATGCAGGCCAACAATGCGTTCAGCAACACCGGACTCACCTCGCTTTGAATCAAAGATGTGGCGTCCTCGCAAGTGCGAAACGGCGTCACTAAATTGCCTGCTGCAGAGGCCACTCCAATGTTGAGCGCCGTGTTCAGCAAGCCTTTCACGCTAGTCCGTGCCCAGTTATGTTCGGACGCGGATTTCATACTGGAGAGCCTTGCTGTAAACTGCTTCTTTATCCGCAAGGACCCAAGCGGGCTACTCGGCGCTGTAGCGCAGTGGAAGAGCGCATCAGATTTTTGTGGCAAGGAACGTTGAGCCGAGACATTGTTCTTGACCGAGGGTGTGGGTTCCAGTGTGGGCTTCACAGGCCTTTCGTCAGACTCACCGCCAACAAACAGTGTCGGGCTGCATTGCAATGAGTTTTGCTGCTTCAGAGTTTGCTTGGGTGCGGTACACGAAGACACGTGCAAGGAGTTCAACGAAACGCAGTCCGCCTCGTCACTGGATGCGGCTTTGCGCGCGGCAGACGAGTGGCGGTCCTGCAGGGGAGATAGCGTGTCGCACGACGGATGAGCGGCAAGCAAGTGTCGCCCGTCATCCGCCAGTGTGCTGGCTGCACATGTGCTCTCCCCTTCAGTGGCCCGAATGGAATTACCTGACACCGATGGCGGCACGTGCCACGACAGTACATCGTAGAAGCAATACTCAATCTTCGACACAGGGATGTGCACTTGCAGGAGCACCTGCAAAGAGAGAGAGAGAGAGAGAGAGAGAGAGAGAGAGAGAGAGAGAGAGAGGGAGAGAGAGAGAGAGACATTACATGAAACGGCACGCGCCAGAGTGATCAGCAATTCCTCGCGGTGATAATTGACCGACAAGACCACTAGCACACCACTAGTAAGCATCACACAGTTTCAGTATAGAAAACTGTGAAGCCAGCACCACTAATTCGAGTATGGGCAATGACATCAAGCGGACATGGCACCCAACACACTGGGCGTGTTCGACTACGCCCATGAATCGATTCATGGATGAAATCTTGTGCATTCAAGTCGTTCTATTTTCATGTCATGAGCCCTGGAACCGGTTCGTAATCGATTCATCCTATTCACATGGGGTGATAAGAATAGCCGGGGGTAATTCATGAATGGATTCAAAATCGATTCGTGGGCAGAATCGAACGTGCTGATTGTGCTTCAGCCAAGGTCCACTGCAGAGATGGTTCAGCAGTACCAGGCAGTGTACAGTTACCCGAACCAACAAATGTTGTTCAGTCCAGAAAATCTCAGATTGCACGGGAACATGCAGTATGATTTCCGTGCACTGCAGGTCAGCAACAAGGTGTGCTGAGCACTTGCATGACGCTGCTACCTAAAAGACCTACTCTGCACTATGACAAGGACACAATCTAATACTTTTCGTCAACCGTAACTGAAGTGCACACATAGTTACATCCTCTTATCCCCCTACACATTCTGTCTTTTCACACCATACCGTGATGCGTAGATACATTCACAAGCCAGCAGCAGAAACAGCAGCAGCGGCGGCGGTGGTAGCAGCAGTAGCAGCAGTGGTAGTGGCAGAAGCAGTGAAAGCTGTAGCAGCAGCAGCCGTAGCAGCAGCAGCAGCTGTAGTAGCAGCAGCAGCAGCCGTAGCAGCAGCATGCTACCTTACCTGATAGAACTGAAGGTAGGCAATTTGCTCCCACGTTGTCCCACACCTCAAGCCCTTCTTGAGAAACGCAAACTTGTCGTAAGTTTTTCCATCCAGAAACAGAGTCAAGGAGAAGAGTCTCCTAGAAAAAGAAGGAGGAAGTTATGTGCCACAATAAAACATGGTTCTGGAAGAAGGCCAACACAGCGGAAACTCATACATCATGATAACTGCAGAGTCGCTTGATAGATCAGACACTATTAATATAAAATTATTGAAATGATGATGACGTGTCAGTTTGAGCACTCTGGCAAGGTACGTTCGGGCCGGGTTTAACAGGTTCGGCCTCATTTTCTCTGTACTGCGCTGATGAGTCCACAAAGGACGAAACAGTTCTGTCCGCAGATTGAGAATTGATGTTTTACAAAAGAACACACAGTGGCAGAAAACAAATGATACAAAAACATGTACTCACTTCACCACAGGTTCAAAACTGTGCAGCTCCTTCCGGTCGACGTGTGTGGCAATTGCTTTCATCCACTGCGGCATGACAGCATTCCAGATCTGCCCACACATGGACACACGTAGAGAAGAATGCTCACGACGTCAGAGCCATGTGAAAAGCGTGGCCAGCCCAGCACTGCAACTGACTACGACATTCCGAGGGAACATGTGCATTCCAGTCACATCTATCATCCTCAAACTGCTGCTGCTCTACAACACGAGTCTCTCAGGGAAACAATGCGTCATTCTGGAGCCAGGCATCTACAGTGCATGCAACATGATACCTACCCTTGTACTAAGTACTCAGGTAAATTGAGCAGAGTTCAAACATTCCAGTTTGCAGAGGAACAAGCACCTGCATTACCAACACACCGTGCCTGTCCACTAGCACAAATTTCTACCAGATCAAGTCATGGAATCTCAACGGGGAACGCCTTGAGACATGCGCGTACAAACATACCATCATAGAAATGGTGTTCAAAACCATTGGGACATGACTGCACACTGTAGGGCTTGCACACTCAAGGGGGGGGGGGGGGGGGCATAGCCTGGGTACTACCGTAAAGTACCGTTGATCCGCCCCCACGCCATGTCGCTTCACAGCTGGGTTTTTGGCAGGGGGCGGGAATTAGATCAAGGCTGTCAAGTGCAGTACGATGTACAACAACGTGGAGGATCAGAATCGATGTGCTGAATTGTGCACATTTTCATCCTGGATTCGCACGCATTGTGTACAGCAGTGTATGGCTCGGTTCTACATCGTATTTTGTTGTATACGCCGAAGTCGCTTCACAGGTTGAAGATCGACAGGGAATTAGAGAGAGGGCGGATCAACGGTACTTTACGGTGTTAGTGACTGCGGTACTTACCTTGAAGATGGCATTGTGATTGAATATACCACTCAACAGCAGGTTGTGTAAGGCCTGCAAGCCTGCCTTGTACCGCTCAGCCGGGCTGGTTATGGTACTCCTGTACATCACCCAACGAAGAAAGGAGTCACTGACAGTTGGCAAGATACTGATTTTGTTTGTGTGGGAGTCCTACAGAGAGCTACATTGTGGCAGCCAAAACTGGAGAGGGTCTTTTTTCTTCACAATAAAATCAAAGGAATGTGAACTACTAACTAGTATTTCCAAGGTGTGCACATGACCAGATCTTACCATGCTGCAGACATGCCAGCTACATTCCAGACTCGGGCCAGTAGTCAAAGGTCACATTTTAGCATCTTTGGTCATAAACAGTCAAAGAAGAAGGTTGAAGTCCGCACATTTGCGCTATAACATGCTGTACAATGGTGCTCAGAAGCACCAGTGAATTGGGAAGTTTTGCTTGTGCCACGCCAATACCACACCTTAGTATGCCAGGCTGTATTGGTGGCAAGCACGGTGACTAAGGGCAAGAGTGAGGAAGCAAGTCACACACACACACACACACACGCACGCACGCACACCCACCCACCCACACCCACCCACCCACCCACCCACACCCACACACCCACACCCACACAAGTACCTGACGAGCACCTGTGACCAATCTGAGCAGGCACCACGTTTACGAGCACTTACCATAACCGGCCCACGCGGCAGCACGCAGGCGGCTCCGGTAGAAGGCACTTGATGAGCAGGTCGAAATGAGCATCGTAGAAGCTAGTGAGCCACGGTGTGGCATACTGAACACACACACACACACACACACACACACACACACACACACACATACACACACAGATGTAATGGCAACAACGGATATGCAACCAAGAGCAAGAGCAACATACCAGGCCTTCCAGATCCAGACGTACGGCCTACTCTGACTACTTAAAGGGGAAGTATACCCTAAAATCAAATTTTCACCAGTTGTAGTCTTCTGGGTGCTGAGTCGAATGGTCTTGGTCCGAGGAAGCTGCGACGCTCCCTTCCTACTTGAATCCCAATCGAACTCGCGCACTTCCACCGAAACTGGGTGACTGCGCCCTACTAGATGGGGATTTGTATGCAAAATGTCACTAAAAGCGCCATTTCGTTCTTATAAAAGCACGGATGACCGCGATTGGCCCATATGTTGTAGTCTTTTGGACGCTGAGTCGACTGGTTTTGGTCCGAAAAGGCTGCGATGCAGCGTTCCTCCTTTATTCCCAATCGAACATGGTTGAACAAGCGGTCACGTGCTCCTGGGTGCCCAAATCACCTGGTCACCGCGCCAGCAGGCGACAACTTTCACACCAAGGTTCAACTCGAGTTCAACTCGAGTGACAGGACTGCACCCAAAAAAGGCCAAACAGGCTAGTAAGTTGTACCCTGCAGGCACGGTGACCAGGTGACTGGTGTACGCAGGAGCACGTGACCGCTTGTTCAACCATGTTCGATTGGGAATAAAGGAGGAACGCTGCATCGCAGCCTTTTCGGACCAAAACCAGTCGACTCAGCGTCCAAAAGACTACAACATATGGGCCAATCGCGGTCATCCGTGCTTTTATAAGAACGAAATGGCGCTTTTAGTGACATTTTGCATACAAATCCCCATCTAGTAGGGCGCAGTCACCCAGTTTCGGTGGAAGTGCGCGAGTTCGATTGGGATTCAAGTAGGAAGGGAGCGTCTCAGCTTCCTCGGACCAAGACCATTCGACTCAGCACCCCGAAGACTACAACTGGTGAAAATTTGATTTTAGGGTATACTTCCCCTTTAAAGGGGAAGTTAAGGCAAAAATTAAAATTTCACCAGTTGTAGTCTTCGGGGTGCTGAGTCGAATGGTCTTGGTCCGAGAAAGCTGAGACGCTCCCTTCCTACTTGAATCCCAATCGAACTCGCGCACTTCCACCGAAACTGGGTGACTGCGCCCTACTAGATGGGGATTTGTATGCAAAATGTCACTAAAAGCGCCATTTCGTTCTTATAAAAGCACGGATGACCGCCATTGGCCCATATGTTGTAGTCTTTTGGACGCTGAGTCGACTGGTTTTGGTCCGAAAAGGCTGCGATGCAGCGTTCCTCCTTTATTCCCAATCGAACATGCTTGAACAAGCGGTCACGTGGTCCTGGGTGCCCAAATCAACTGGTCACCACGCCAGCAGGCGACAACTAACTTTCACACCAAGGTTCAACTCGAGTGACAGGACTGCACCCAAAAAAGGTCAAACAGGCTAGTTGTACCCTGCAGGCACGGTGACCAGGTGACTGGCGTACGCAGGAGCACGTGACCGCTTGTTCAACCATGTTCGATTGGGAATAAAGGAGGAACGCTGCATCGCAGCCTTTTCGGACCAAAACCAGTCGACGCAGCGTCTAAAAGACTACAACATATGGGCCAATCGCGGTCATCCGTGCTTTTATAAGAACGAAATGGCGCTTTTAGTGACATTTTGCATACAAATCCCCATCTAGTAGGGCGCAGTCACCCAGTTTCGGTGGAAGTGCGCGAGTTCGATTGGGATTCAAGTAGGAAGGGAGCGTCTCAGCTTCCTCGGACCACGACCATTCGACTCAGCACCCCGAAGACTACAACTGGTGAAATTTTAATTTTTGCCTTAACTTCCCCTTTAAGTCTTCGGACACTTGGACAACTGATACAAACAACTCAACCTGTTCTACTCGTTGGCACCGTGCTCACTCATGACACATGTGTATCACAATCGTGCAAGGCCTCGTGCCCGAGTAAATCTTGCGCTACTGGAGCATCATTCGCTAATAGCCAAAGACCTTCAAGTCATCTTGTCCAGGAGAGAGTACAGTTGTGGTTGAAATCCGACCCAGAGTGCACATTCGGTGCACTCAATTTGCACTGCCCTTGACGCCCTGGAAGTCGCACGAATGCGGTTGGACGTATACGTGTACAAATGCAATGATGTAATCGGAACATGTCCAGGGCGCCAGCTTTGTACTTGGGGTTGGATTTCAGCGAGCGCAACTGTAGCTCAGAAAACTTTAACTGTGCATGCAAGCCTTCTGCACCATCATGCATGGCCCTCACAGAAGTCTTCAGCCTGCAGTCTCCCGACCAGGCACCAAGAACTCTGATTTTGAAAGTATCATTGAGCCATACAAGCTCAGTGAGTGGGCCTCATCAAGAGTGCATGATATGGCCTGAGTGCGCAACAGCATTGTTTCAATCTGGATTGGAGGAATTCGTGGACAAGCATATCATGTTCATGATGTCATTCGCCCCCCTCGTGCTCACCCTGCTCACCCCAGGCGCACATACAGAGCACATACAGAGCGTTGAAGAAACGCTCAACACCATGACCTAGTCCACGAATCCCACCAGTCCAGATCGAGTCAGTGGAGTTGTGCACTGTTGAGAGTGTGCACTCTCGGTGCCGTAAGTGCATTGTACATGATACAGATACATGATACAGTGCATCAAGTGAAGCTCACCTTGATCTTGTATGGGTCCAAATTGTTGAAGATGATACCTGGCAAAAAGCAGACAGCAGGCAGGGAGAAGCACAGTGTCAATGGCAGAGACAATGGAGGTGATGGAGCAATACCATTCGCATTTTAACTACTTCCAAGTACATGTAGTAGTGCAGAGGTTGCATCAGCTCAAATACCTCACATCAAAACCAAATGTCCACGAAATTAATCAAAGAAGAAAAGGTCACATTCGTAGACCGCTTACTGTTACTTACCAGTTCCAAAGTCCACCACACAATAAACCCAATAAATAACAGCAGCCGCAAGACGACCTATTAGATCCTGGGCAGAAGCAATGAATACAGAAAAGCATCCATAGTCGTCAGAGCGGTCCAGTTCCCTGCTTGCTTGCTTGCTACTCGCAAGCAGCAGCCATTCTTCAGCTGGCTGGAATACTACTGCAAGGGTGGATTCAGAGATCTCTACAGGGAGGGTTCCAGTTTAGCCAATACTGAATAGCGGATACATGTACATGTGCATGCATATGGTTTCCAGTAGTACATTTGCGAAATTAAGGACGTTTAGCAATGCGAAAATTCGAACTTTTGGTGGTGGTGATATTTCGCGAAAATCTTTTTCGAAAAAGAAAACTTGTGAGGTTTAGCAATGCGAAATGACTTTTTCTCGAAGTTATTTGAATCTTATAGTACCGTACCGTATATGCAGGTCAGTCTCAAGCAGGGGGCTTAAAATTACTACTCCCTGTAGTCAAATGCGTACCGAGAAAAGAGAAAGTTACTTTCGCAAATCACTGCAACTTCGCGTTCAAGTTTTCGAAGTTTCGAGCTTTTTTCCTGTACTCATTCCCAGACTCGAATTTTCTTTCGAACTTTCGCGTTGCTAAACGTCCTTATTTAAGGGGTTCCGTGGCTGGTTATAATCACCCACACAACATATTTATTGGCAATATGCCACTGTAATTGTGAAAAATGAGAATAACAAAGAACAAAGAGAACCTGAACACATAGAAAATTCAGATGGAGAGCCAAGTATAGCGTATAGCCAAGTATAGCGTAACTTGTAGGTCCTTACAGTCCATTTCAAAACTATAGACGCGTACCTAGGCAAAAACCGTTATGCCAGCATCTATACCACATAAAATCTGTGATCACTTTGTGCATAAATTTTTCCAAATTGGGCGTCTGTTATCCAATCCTTTAGAAACTATATGAGAGTAATTGTGGAGCGATCCTGAGCAATATTCCGAAAACTATTCTCAAAAAGTTCCAGCCAAATTTGAAATATTTCAAAAACCCTACGCGTCTATAGTTTTGAAATGCACTGTAGTCTTTCTCTTTTGTATACATAGAAAATTCGTTAGAAACTTACTTGATCATTGCTGGCTTCAACCGTGCAGTAGCTAGTTAGTAACACCATGCCAAACTGGCTGAGCAGGCGAGTGTCCTTGGTCGGATCCAGCTGCGCTGTCTTCTGCAGTATGCCGGTCGTGCCCGAGGATACTGTGCGCCGAAAACGACTGCGCGTGTTATGAAGGTTACCGCTACGCAGGGCAGACGACTCACTGCTCACTTCACACAATAAACTAGAGGACAGACACAAAAGCCACGCATCAGAAGTGACACAAAAGGCACAGTTACAGTATGGCACAAAAGCCACGCATCAGAAGTGCCTTGCAGGCAACAGCTCACGTATGGCACGGAATGCAATAAGGGTAGCCAACACCTCTACACCCATGAACAGTGCCATCAAAAAAATAATTGAAGAGCTTGCGATGCAAAATGCGACAAGCGGAAATTTGAGAAAATGAGATATTGTGCCGGGTGGTTTCAAAAGGTCTACACCCACCTTGAGATAATAACTTCACATTCAAAATCTGACTAGAACCGCTTGAAAAATGGTGACCAAACACGAATTTAGATACAAACCGCACATAAATCCTTTTTTGGTCATTATCCGAAGTGATGAAATGGATATGTTGCGTTTTGCGTCTAAACTCTTCAATTGTAGACATGAACTTTGAAGCATAAGACACAACTCGACCGCATGGTTTCAGCATTCTTGACAAACAATTACCTGACAACAGCCTCAACGAGAATGGATCCACTTTGGGTGGCGGAGCAGTGTGACAGATGCGGGACAGTTTCTAGGAAAATACAGGCAGAAGACACACGCAATGAAGGTCATGTTACAGGGCTGGCAACATCATAGATCATACTGTACAAGTAATTATAGACAATACAAGTGATAGATAGCCGTATAGCAGAGCTCTAGGCTGAACTAGACCCTGGCTTGAGCAGGGCGCAGGCTAGCCGGCACAGCTACAATTCGCACATACTTACTTTGAACAGGAAAATGATTTTCAGCGGACAGCCAGTGAACCGTCTTCTCACACATGGAGCAATAACGCTTCGGAGGACCGCCCTGCGTGCACCGGTCGTCATAACAAGTTGTTACGGCCACCTGTTGACCAACGCACTCCTGAAAGAAGATCAAGCAAACAGTGCCAGACAAATCGTATTTATTTCTCCACCTGACAAAGGCAACTACTAGCATCGTACTCACGTGATTAGTGCCCCCGGGATACTATTTTTCAACGTCGATCACAGACAGGGTACTATTCGAGAGAGGGCTCTATTTTTCAATGCTACCACATTGCTGGTACATTTACGTCATCCAGTGTAAAAAACAAAGGGGGCAAAGAAGAATAAGAGACTAAAGTCTACTTTAAGTATTATACTATCATGACTCAACGGAAACTGCAAAAAGAGCTGCAACTTTGATCCTGAAACCACCAGTGCAAATGGCATGGACACGAGCAATAGCAAAACAACACCAAACTTGCACATGTGCTTGATTACAACTGGATGGGGGGGGGGGGGGCACTATTCAAGAGGGCTTTATATTTCATTGGCTCTGAGAGACAGGGGCACAATTCGAGACATGGCACAATTCAAGAGAGCTCTAATCGAGTGAGTGTGGTACACGTGTTTCTTTCCGACAAATCACTGCTGCTACGGGGACTCACTTCAGGAGATACGGTGGACAGTTAGTATTTAAAGAACTAGCGCGGATATGAATGGGTTTTACATGAAAACTTATGAAATTTTTCGTGAACGAAATATTCTTGATATACAGTGAGGAAGCACACTACATCTACATGTATCTATATATGTATGTACTCACATCTGCCGTACAAAGAAGCGGAATGGACGCTGCACAAAGAGAAAGGAGAGACAGTCTTGGTTGTCAACTTCGTATGACAAACCACGCATGCAGCACATTGACGATAGCTTTGACAACAAACTCGATAGCACACCACTGTGGGCGTTTGGATAAAGTGAGGGTCAACAACAACAACACCATGTCACGATTCACGCGAGACTCGGCTGGAGGCCGAGTTGTCCGCATCCGTAGGAACGCCACCACAACTGTGGATCAAGGTGAAGGTGAGTAGATCAGACCCACCACAACTGTGGATCAAGGTGGCTATGCGGCTCCTGAAGGTGAGTAGATCAGACCCACCACAAAGTGGTCAAAGACCAAAAATCCCATTCGCTGCATCCATGTCCTGCTTGGAAGCGGAAAGATTTTTTCTAGACGTGCTGCGATTAATTGGGAACTCGTGCCCTGGCACGAGGGAAGCATGGGGTCAACAAGCATGACTATTTATTAGAATACTGCTTGCATTCAGATGAATTCACTCTTCCGTCAGTGCACTTCTATGCCGCCTTTGCTGCCTTTGTGCCAGTCCCGAGGCAAAAAGCCACACTCGTCCAAGATCTAAAGACTCTCTTGGACAAGTACTGCTACAGTCGTCCCTCTTTAGTCCAGGATTATATAACCCAGCACCCTCTATAAACCAGCATAATTTCAGCAACCAAAATGTCCTTTTCATGCACATTGCAGCAGTAAATCAGATTTGCCACTCCAGCACCCTCCCTAATCCAGCAGAATTTACTTAGCACAAATGGCGCCAGATTATTTAAAAGGGACCACTGTACGAGTCTCCTTTTGATTTGGTGATTCTTCTCTTTCTTTCTTAGCTTCTGACCGCTGGAACTCAGATCTGACATTGGTCTGCATTGCCAAGCCAGTTTCGTATCGCAAGCCTGGAGTTCCTAGGGTACCGGGTGAAGCGACCATAGGTCTGTAGTAGCAAAAAGGTGCAATGTCCAAAACATGTGTAGTGCAGTAGAGATGGTTGAAGATGTGCTGCAAGATTTTACACACACTCACCACTTGGTTGCACCAGCGATACAACGAAATGGTCCCTGTTGTCATCACTAGACAGGAGAAGACGAAACAGCAGGCAGAAACAAAACAAAAAAGTTTTTTCAGTGTTGCGGATTCGCATATCGTTACATACTTTAATAAAAACCCTTCAAACTTTCAACGCTTACAGTAGTCCTGCATGGAGCCAGTCGTAGGAATAGGCAAACGCCCAAACCCGGATTCAGAAAAGAGGCCACACATAGGGCATCCACTTCTTTAAACTCATATCGTTGACACAGTCATCAGCCAGCAAGTCCATAACAAGCACTGGAGAATGGCTGCAAGGTCACAGCGCCTCTCCACTCACCTGTGTGTTCTAGCGCAGCAGGTCTCGCAGAGATACAGCGGTGGATAGTGGCCGCCACTTGTTGATGCACAAATGGCATTCATGCACATCTGCACAGGGGACGGAGAGAGAACAAAGTCATTAAGTCATTGAAGTGTTCATGAGGGTCCTGTTGGCTCCCATCACTTCTTACGTCCTGTCCCATCGCACTCCATCGAATGTGAACTACAGTCCATTCACCAAACCTGGGCCCATACGTTTTACACAGTCCCACTTCATTCTTATTCAAGATGGTGAAGTCGATGATTTATTATTATAGGTCAGAAATATGATAGCCGTTGTTTTAAGCCTAAGATGAAGTGAATGCGGTGAAATTGTGGACTGTAGACTTTACCACTACCGTAAAGTACCGCGAGAGCGCCTTGTCTCGTGGGAGCAGGCAGGCTTGATTTTACAGCCAGGGAAAGGAAAATCGTATGGCAGAGTGCAACGAAATTTGCACGGTGCGGGAAACTTGGTGTACTAAGGTCACACTTAGCAGGTTTTTGTATTGAGCATGTGTCCGCTCGAAGGTAAATGGTGTATGGATCAACTGCACAACGTGCAATGTGTGTGCAAGGTTCGTGTCGCATAACCTACGGACAGGACAACACCTCCACAAGACGACCACGAATGGACGGGACGGTTGGGCGCTCTCGCAGTACTTCACGGTATATAATTATTATTTCACCGTGATTATCGCATAATCTGGAATTCAATACATAAATTTCTGCCCTAAGGCAAAGCAATGGAGAAAGAAATCACACAGAGGTACGTGTATAGTCTAAAGGGTCCGTCATACAGACTAAGCAGAGCAGCACAACCGGTGCAGTGTTGTGACACCTGCTAACGGCAGCTAGCTACCATACCTTGACTGCTGTCTTTGCGTCGCCAGAGGATCGACACTGGCGGTGCTGGCATGAGGGGTGGGTCCAGTCTGCAGGGCAACGGAAGCAGATCAGAGAGAAAGCAAAGACAGCTGCCGAATCAGGACGCTGGAATAGTATTATGCCAAGCACATTGGGCAGCAGAACTTGCACACAACATTGTCTTTGGCATTCTCAGAATCCAACGCCAATCAGGGAAGGTCTTGCGACTCACCAAAACACAAAATACCCTACAAACAGCACTTCAGTTCACACACAGCATAATTGACCTGCCGGGGACAAGCTACCCGCAACACCAAAGCTGCACGTGTCTTACTCAATGACTTGATCTTCGTATAGTAGGAGGTCGAGAGCTGCGCTTGCGGAAAGAAGTGGAACAGCAGCCGCGCCGCGTTCTGCCGCACAGGAGTGGAGCTGTATGCAATCAGTTTTAGCAGATCCTACAGCAACACAGTAACGAACAAACAGTCCCGCAGCAACAGAAGAATGTTACTATAGTAAAGCATTGGCACAACAAATATCAGTTGTATGGAAAACAGTAAAAAAGCCTCCTGTCGTATCAATAGAAACTCAACCCACAAATGTGTGCACAACCTGACCTAGTGCAATAGCTCGACTCCACCAGTTGGGCCTTGGTGACCTTCTATAGCCCGACATTACATTGCGGTATATTTACTCTTTTAGTAATATACCAGTATGCTAGAACTGTGAAGTTGTGCACAGCCTTTGTCCCACTTGTCCTACTTCTTGCCTCTTCTTTCCCTCCCCTTCCTTTGTACACTATATCTTCGCTGTATTCTTTGCTAAATAAACGACATAGAGACAACAGTTCTATGCCACTTTGTCATTTATGTTAAGCCACTAGGAGAATCTGCCTATGGCAAAATGCAGGGCCTGGAGAATCCAGATGATTTCAGAAAGAGCTGGGAGTGCGCAGAGTTGTAGCCGAGTGCCAAGCTGCAGCTGATCAATGGTAGCAGAACCGCACCAGTATATTAGCCAGACCACAGAGCAAGTGTTACCTACCATGCATACACCTTCCTTGAGACCCATGAGCGTTTCCAGTACCCTGGCGTGCGCTGAATTGCTGGGGCAGTACTGCAGCACATAGCGGAGAACGCCCGCGGAACAGGTACCCGGCTCCTCCGCCTGGAAATTTTCACGCTGCGCAGGAGCATGAACTAAAGACAGACATACACAGAAGAGCCAGCAGCAGCAGCAACAGGAGTGTAGATGCAAAAGTAGCAGCCACAGTAGATCGTGAGAAAAACCCACCATAGGGAACATATCGTTATGTCACTGGACACAAGGTGCAGGATAAACAGAGCAAACTAGGAAACAACTCAATCCTAAAGGGAGACATCTCAGTTCATGGATCAGAGAATCTAGCAGGAGCGACAACAGCACTGTGGCGACACATACATGTATGGAGTCGGTTACTGTAGGCCAAAAAAGTATGGATGCTGCTGTGATGTTCCAGGCTAAGACTGTTCGAAGACAACTTACTCAAGCATAGGGGCAGGGTGTTCAAGCACAGGTTGTCCAGGCAGAGGCGATGAGAAGTCAGCGGCAGTGACGCCAGACCACTGGCTACTTGTAAGGGCATCAAGTGGCGGAAGGAGGTGGGTACAAATGCCCCTACCAGCCCTATGGTCTGCATAACGACTGCAATCAACTCTGTAGCCAAACGTTTGGGGACGGCAAGAGAAGTACAGTGGATGATAATGTCAAATTCGGAAGCTAAAGGAAGCAATGGTCAGCATATTTGCAGCTGCCAAATATATTAGGGAGATTCAGTTACTAGTTGCGAACTCGTACATCAGTACACAAAACGAAATCAATTTCGTTTTGTGCTCAAACCGTTCAAACTGTACTAAAATAATTGAAAAAAAGTCCAGTGACTCATGAGCAAGGTGCGCTTTGGTTGCCATGACGACAAGAGAGAGAGAGAGAGAGAGAGAGAGAGAGAGAGAGAGAGAGAGAGAGAGAGAGAGAGAGAGAGAGAGAGAGAGAGAGAGAGAGAGAGAGAGAGAGAGAGAGAGAGAGAGAGGCAGCAACAAAAATACAGGTACAAACGTATGGGTACTAGATCAAACTTCCCGCTTAGGCATGGTGTATCCTTATTTAGGGCAGTGCGATTTCGGAGCTACGTACGAATCAATCAACCCGAACTCGTGTACACAAGTCCAATCTACAAGATCTTCACGGGACTCTACTCCAGATCTGAATCATTGACTTGTTTCGCATGAAACAAACTAGTCACCGAACCTCTCTGAACAGGCCAGGTTTGGCATCTCTATACTGTACATACATACATGTATACGTCAGTGCCTCAGCAGGCACTTCCATAGGTAGGGATCTCAGCGCGTGAACTGCGCAGCCAGTCTGCGCAGGTGAGATTTTCGATCCCAAACGCGTCCCGTGCAGAAATCGTGGAAAAGAACATTTTTTTAGAAATAAATCAAGTTGAAGAAGACAGTAGAAATGGCTGAATATTGCGTCCAGGAAAGCACGTTCTACGGCCATCTCCAAGCTACCTATCTCCCAGACACTCTCTCAGAGGAACTATGGAGGGTCAAAGAGCACAATCTTTCACTCTTGGACGCAGCGTGAACACCTCTTCTACTGAGCGCGATGTCTTCTCTCTGAGTGATAATGGCGGCGATGTTCGCGATAGCCGATGCACTGAAAATCGAAGTTAGGACAATCTAACCGGAGAAAACGTCTGAATTTTTGACTGAATCCTCTCTGAAGTGGGTTCTTGCCGCATGGCAAATTATAGGAAAATCGACCGGGGCGATATCGCCTTGGCCACGCTGTCCTTCGGCGGGAATTACAAAGTATGTTCGAACGACGATGAAGATGACGATTCCGCTAGTGTCCACCGCGTCCGCTAGTGTCGAAAATCGACCGTCGCCATTTTCTGCTGTGTCCGCGAGCTGCACTCAAAACTCGATGACGCAATGTATGCGCAAACACCCTGCGCACCGCACGCGCTGAGATCCCTACCATAGGTGTACAAGACTAGGTGAGCGAAGACCCCTGGAGACTACCTTACGGCGATCAGACCACATGTGACCAGTGAGAAGAACTGCACAGTGTATATAGAGTATGCCATGCAAAGCAGCAGCAACAGACTACATGCTCGGGCCATGTGCACAAAAGATTGCAGGCTCGCTGCTCCACAGAACAAGTCATGCATTCACTGGCCGCCGTTCCACATACCATCACATCCTTGTGCTTCCACCTTGATCGTTTGTAAATAATTGAACAAGCTGCCAATGGCCTTCAGCAGAGAAACTACATCAATGTAGTCATCGCTGTCCGGTGAGCGCAGTTTCCTGAGCAAGCATCAAGCAAAAACAACATGCGCAAGTCACCTAATAAGAGAGTAAGGATTACAAGTTGTTATACTTTGGAATATTATCGCCTGGCGTGCAGTTAGCTGTGCTGAATTGGATAGCACAAATCCAATAATTCCTCAGGGGTTGCAGGGCAAGGATGTATTTTACTGAACCATGTCTCTACCGATGCTGCCTCCAAGCACGACCAAAGATAGCAGTGGCAACCAGAAGAGAAGCAAGCAGAGGTAAGCACGTGAAGTAAAGGCTAGAAGGTAGATATTCCTCCACACGTTTGCAGCCGAATAAGATCTTGTCACTCAGAAAAAGCACAACTTGAGGCACCCAAATACTAACAATATCTTCAGGTATGCATCATTCATTTATTCAATCAGTAACATTGAGATTGCATCACGAAAACAAGTCGTTCTCTACATCACAATCAGCTTCGCATGACTCATACTCACTTGAACAGAATCTTGTCAATGGCAATGAAAGATTTGGCCATTTCCGTTGCCTGAGGCAGGATAACAGCCCCGGGCCGAGATGCATTTGCTTCATAGCGTGAAATGCATTGCTTTATGTCCAGCACTGCCTTGGCATCTGTGATAGAAGGTACAGAAATAGAAAGATGAAGAACAGAGGGGGGGGGGGGGGCAGACAGATAACGAGCGGTGTATCAATGAAGGATAGCTTTCGCGATAGAGGTTCGCTCTACGTAATTATGTATGAAAAATAAGGAAGGAACTGCACGCAATTTTCACAAGTAAAATTTTTCGCTGTTTGGTTTCCCTCTACGTGATTTCTTGACGACTGCTAAGCATGCCTTGTTGCATCGAACAGCGTTCTCCATTTTGTTTTCCACGTGTTGTGGACATTGTGTTTCGCAAGGCTTGACCGTTGCCATGGATAAATTTGGAAAATGAGAAAGATATTTCAAAACGTCCTGCAGAGGAGGGAATGTAGGAAAGCACTACGGAAATCCATAGAGAGATTTATGTATGAAAGTTGCCCTCGCTCCCCGGCGCGTATGACATACAGATTTTCATACTTAAATACGTAGAGGGAAACCTGCCCGAAATGATTCAAATCGCACCTACACTGTCAGCAGCAAGTGCATTATCACCATTGCAACAGTAAGACGATCCCGGTCCGGCGGCCACGCAAACACCAAGCCGCAAGCACACATAGCGCAAGCCTGATCACAAGGACTTACACTGCTCTGTGACTTTCGTCTCATGACGAACTGTCGACAGGCACTTGGGCACACGAGGATACGCTGTTGCATCAGATGAAAATCCTTCTAGTCCCTCATCAAGTGCAAACGATGGCCTCATCTGAAGCAAGAATGGAACATTGCGTGAAATAGGCACAGGGGATAATAGAATAATGGGAGGAGGAAGAGGAGGAGCTGTTCGTTTACTAACAAAATACTAAAATAGCGTGTCAAACCAAGGTAGTGAGAAACATAAAAGTTACCAGCTGGTCATGGTAACTGCGAAAATAACATTAGGTTCCGCAGAGTTTGAGGCACTGAGTCCAATGGTCTTCAGGGAATTTTCTAGAACCACCCCAACCGGTTTTCGACCGGTTGAAATTGTTGGCGACCGGTTGAAAAGTTACAAATCAGTTCCAACCGCCCGTACTTTTCTGTGGGTGAATGGAGCTGTGAATGGTCAAACGCTTTTTTCTGGACGGATACTTCCAGCGAAGCCGCGTGGGCTGGTACTAGGGTCCTCTGCTTATATCTTTGCTACACTCCAGCACCAAGAAATCTGTTAAATTGCTGTTGAGTGCCATATTTGGGTTGTATTTTGAAAAAAATTTCCGGGCCGACCCCCCCACTCTTCATTGGACCGTAACCGGTTGGAAATTCGTCCTAGAATATACCCTGGTCTTGGTCAAAGGCAGCTATGACACATCGCTTGTCAGATACTCCCAATAGGATTTGTTTGTGCATTACGCCGCTTTCCTGCTCGATTTGAGAACCACGGAGCCAAAAAATTCAGAACACATACGTAGTCTTCTGGGCACCGAATCGCCAGGCCATGGTCTGAAGCGCTTGATGTAACCAAGCCGTGCACCATGGTGCTGTACACTGTAGTATGCACAGTGTTGTGTGCCTAAAACAAGACTGGTAGCTGTACTGCTGAGCAGCATGCATAGAAGCCTGGTCTGTTACTCGGCTTCTGCAGAAAAATGACTGTAAACAATACGCTGTCCAATCAATCTCCACAGTTTCAAGTTTCACTTCGCTGCACAACGGCACCTACCACTCTTCACCTGACCACTGAAAAAGCATTAGACGGGAAGTAAACCCAAAAATCAAAATTTCACCAGTTGTCTTCGGGGTGCTGAGTCGAATGGTTTTGGTCCGAGGAAGCTGAGACGCTCCCTTCCTCCTTTTTTCCCAATCGAACTCGCGCACTTCCACCGAAACTTGGTGACTGCGCCCTACTAGATGGGGATTTGTATGCAAAAAGTCACTAAAAGCGCCGTTTCGTTCTGGACAAGAACGGATGAGCACGATTGGTCCATATGTTGTAGTCTTTTGGACGCTGAGCCGACTGGTATTGGTCCGAAAAGGCTGCGACACAGCGTTCGGTCCTTATTCCCAATCGAACACGGTTGAGTAAGCGGTCACGTGCTCATGCGTACACCAGTCACCTGGTCACCGTGCCTGCAGGCTACAACTTACAGCCTGTTTGAGCGCGTTCCTGTCACTCGAGTTGAACCTTTTAGTTGAACCTTGGTGTGAAAGTTGTAGCCTGCAGGCACGGTGACCAGGCGACTGGCGTATGCACGAGCACGTGACCGCTTACTCAACCGTGTTCGATTGGGAATAAGGGCCGAACGCTGCATTGCAGCCTTTTCGGACCAAACCAGTCGACTCAGGGTCCACAAGACTACAACATATGGACCAATCGCGGTCATCCGTGCTTTTATAAGAACGGAACGGCGCTTTTAGTGACTTGCATACAAATCCCCATATAGTAGGGCGCAGTCACCCAGTTTCGGTGGAAGTGTGTGAGTTCGGTTGGGAATAAAGGAGGAAGAGAGCGTCTTAGGCTTAGCTTCCTCGGACCAAGACTATTCGACTCAGCACCCCGAAAGACTACAACTGGTGAAAATTTGATTAATATTCAAAAGTGTAGAAGTTTCTGGAACCAAATAATCTACTCTGTGTGAAATTGCTATGTACTATGCTTTCTATGTGGCAAGCCTCGAACATGTCACAAAGGAATATCAAATTTGAAAACACAAGTCAAACCTCCTTGCACTTGTGGCTTCAAATACAGTAGTTTGATATCCAAATCAAACCAACTGAATTCGAAGGGGTCACTTGAAACCTTCAGTATTGAACTGGATTTCGAACACACAATTGTTGGTAGTTACTAAGCGCTTAGGACGAAATAATGCAGTGCTCTTCTGATCGCCGTGAAGCTGCGGCATCAAATTCTACACAACAAGTGCTTGCATATCTCTGGGCTGGTACGATCAGTTCAAGACGTACCAATTTCTAATTTCGATATGGTTCAACGCAGTGTCACAGCAATTCATGCACAATTCCTTCCACAAGTAAGGACCTAAAGAACTGAACTCCCGCAGATCTTTGAGCATTCCGTCGGACGAGAAACTAACACTTTCCACTGCCCTTTTCATCACAAAATGATAACCCACCTGAACAGGTGAGGCCATAATTAGGAAATACTAAGTTGTCCAGAATCCAGACTGCAAGCCATGGCCGAAGAAACGTAGCATTAAACCAACGCAGTCCACATCCCTTCGTTCTCACATCCCAGAGAAAAGGAAATAAGCACTCTATCCCAATGGCATCAATATATGAGTACTGAACATTCAAGATCTTGAATAATTTACTTCCAATATCAAGGAAGGCAAAACACAAACTTTGGATGTAGTTTGGTAAAAGGTTCAGATTTCCGCCCCAGAACACAGCACAGATCACGATACAGACGCCATTCAAGCTGTCGCTAGTGCCAAGCAGCGTAGCGCACTTCATGAGTACACACACCCATCCCTAGCCCTGATCCGGCCGGCCTAGCTAGCCTGCTGGCCGGCGCCCTTGTTTGTTCGGCCAACGCTACTCGCTAGCTAGCTTCGCGGTTGTAAATCTACCGGTAAATCTACCGGTACGGCTCGTAGATCTACCATCGCCGCAACCTCCCGCATCGGCATCAGGTCAGGCCGGAAGTCCCTTTTTTGCAGAATGAGTCGGGCGCCCTGAGTTATAAAACAACTACTCTGGGTCCGCGAATGTGTACTCAGTGTAGGGAGGTTCTCGTAGTCTACCACTCAGGGAGTCGTAAAATACCGTATTTTACGACTCCCTGCCACCACTACACTTCCACTTGCACTCCCGGTACGGATCCTGATATCGCGGCGATCTACTCAGCTCATCATGCGTGGCTTGAAATTCCCATGATTGGGAGGGCTACTTCAGAAGCCTTCGAAGACATTCCTTGTTGTGAAGTCTGAGTGTCGGGCGGAGGCAGAGCGAGCCTTCGCAGGGTCTGGCATCAAGATAGCTGGTGAGGGTGACAACTTGGTTCACAAGTCGGGACAACTTGAAGGCATTTGCCTATGATTTGGGCGCTGCTATCGGCTCAGAGGAGTTTGTCTCTGCCTATCTGGAGGCAAAAGTTCAAGCATGGACCAACCAGATTGAGCGACTTGCCAACGTAGCAGCTACACATCCTCACGCTGCATTTGCTGCTTTCGTCTTCGGTTTGCGTCACCGGTGGACATTCCTCCAACGCACAATGCCTACTGTTGGTGATCACATGCAGCCTCTACAGGATGCTATTCGCAGCCGTCTACTGCCAGCTCTGACCAAGCATGAAGTGAGCGAGCTGGAGATGGAGATGGTGGCTCTGCCTGCTCGACATGGAGGCTTGTCTTTCGACAACCCTGTTGAGGACTCTCCACGCAAGCACACTGCGTCTTTAGAGTGCACCACTCACCTCCCAGCTCAGATTGCTACCGGCGGATCGGAGTTGCTGGAGAGTATTCGGCTGGACCAGGCAACCAAATCGGCGGTGCGGATTCGCCACCGCGCAGTACTGGACGCAACAGCTACCGCTATCCTAGACCGCCTGCCGCAGCCACAACAGCAAGCAATGTCTTTGGCACGCGAGAAGGGCGGGTCCAGTACCCTGACCACCGTCCCTATAGCTGAGCACGGTTTCAGCTTTGATGTGAAAGCTGACTTTCACGACCATATCCGGCTCCGGTACTGTTGGCCCCTGGACAACCTGCCAGCATCCTATCCCTGTGGCTCAAGGTTTTCAGTCGACCATGCCCAAATTTGCAAGCTGTCGGGGTTCATCGACATGCGACACAATAATCCCACTGACTTCCTCGCATCGTGATGAAAGAGTTCCATCGTGATGTCGAGCATTGCAGCCCCTAACTGGCGGCACCTTTCACCATTGGCCCAGCCAACACTGATCCTGATGCCCGTGCCGACCTGCGGGTGAAGGGATTCTGGACTGATAGCCGCAACGCATTCTTCGGTACACGGGTGTTTTATCTACACGCATTAAGCTATCGTGCTAAGTCCCTCCCCTCCCTCTACCGAAGGTTTGAACGCAAGAAGAAGCGTGCTTACGGTGAACGTGTCAATGAAGTCGAGCATGGCTCCTTCACACCGTTAGTGTTCTCCTCCTGTGGTGGCATGGGCCCAGAAACAGCCGTGGTGATCAAGAGGCTGGCGCACGGCTTGGCTACCAAACGCAACGCTGCCTATAGCCGGGTTGTAGCTTGGTTGCGGTGCTGCTTGGCATTTTCTCTTGCCAGGTCTGCCATCCGTTGCATCCACGGATCACGCTCTGTTCGCCGTCGTCACTTCGACCTCGCGCCTGTCGACCTCGTCCAGGCTGAGGCGCATCGGGCTCGACATTAGACTGTATTCACAGCCATATAATCTCCTTTCTTCCTGTTGTGTAATTACTATCCGGCGTGTATTTGCCGCCATATTGCCAGGTGCGTGTTTATCACCATAATTATGAATAAAATACTCAGGGGTACATACCCCCCCCCCCCCCGCCTACACACAGTGGTAGCATATGAAATCCAACTTCCAGCAGAAGCGCGCGCTCATTTTTTTGTGTGACAAAAGAGTGGTAATATTGAAACTCGTCCAAAAGGTGGCCGGTTGACCCAAGTGACATGATACAAACAGAAACGTGCTCATTGCACAGCCTACATCATACATGTAGCCACACATACATACATGTATACTAGTAGTCAGTATCATACGACTCGAGCTCATGTTGTAGATGTTAACCATGAAGTCGCGAATCACCCTGATATGGCAGCTCACCTCCAACTCAGCTCAGACGACTCCAACATGATTAGCAGTCGGCATCGTACTTCAGTATTGTACGGGCTTCTCTAGGCAATGATATCACTGTCTACATGATTGTATAGGCATAGGCATACATCTGTGGCCTAAAGCGTCATGCCAGGACATAACGTGCGGTAGTACCCAGCTTTCCTTTCTGCTAGCATAGCAGTGCCTGTGCCTGTGCATGTTCTGCACGACTATCACCATGATCACTAGCTGGCCATAAATAATAAAAACGCGAAGTACAATTTGCGACTCATCATGCCCAGCCACGTGCATATCGGAATTACATTGTAGTTCTCCTCCTGTTCGCTCACTATTGAGTATTGTACAGTCATGTAGCTTGGTCAGGGTCCACTGGTTTGGGGGACATGCTGTACGGTTACGGGTATGTACCAGGGAGATGGGTTACGCTTATCTCCAATCCCAGACCGCAGCATCTCGTGCCAACAGGAGGATCTAGGACAGTCATGTCAGTTGCGGATGTCTGCAGCACGTGATATGCCTGCATATTCGTGACTTTGACAGATTGCAATGGAAAAATGCACAGGCAGGCATACAAGGGCTAGTTCAATAGTCAGCTGGCCAGAACCCAGCCCTGTGGAAGCTTGACACGGTTGTACTGTTATCGGAGAGCGTTGAAATAATAATAATTCCAAAAGAGTAAGCTAATCCCTTTACACGCTTCCGCAACTTTCGAATTCAGTTCGGAGAATGCTAGCGGCCTCTACCCAGCATGTATCACTTTGAGCGTCTCTAGCGTGTTGTGTAAGATACAATGAAAAATTCATGTAACTGTGTGGCAAATTGCCAGGGTGTGGAGATGTCTACTCGATCAGGTTTTATGCTTCACGGAATCCACAGATACTAGTAGCCTTCAAGACTGCTTCTTACTCACGATGATGGTGTATGCCAGAACCTTCGTGATCCTTTGGAAATGTGAATGCAACGTCGTACATTTCTTAATCCATTGCTTGGCAGCAGTGATGGGTGCCGAGGTGATATTGCCAGAATCAATGTGGGCTGTTACTGTCCTTCCATCTTCTTCACATCACTGGCTTCACTGCACCTGCACACAATGACCTGAGTAACCAACTTGGGTATCCATTTCCAGGTCTCAGGGGCAGTGCTTCGAACCACATTCAAACCACGCCAACAACACGTACTTTAATAGGTAGCCAACAACACGTACTTTAATAGATGGCCACTGAGTCTGAAAATACCTACCGGTATACAAGCCTACCCCTGACTGAGCTCAGCATTATTAGTTGTCTGATGATTGCCGAAGGGCATCAAACCAGTGGTAGCAACTAGCAACGAGTGGGAACAGTGATACTGTGTAGCGCGTGTGTGCATGTGGAGTCAGAAACACATGATTGGATCTTGGTGGTTAGACGCATGTTGCGTACTATATACTGGTACAGTACATGGCGATGCATTATTATGGTGACGAAAGATGTAGTTGAGTTCATCCACTGAAAACGTACTTCCACTGTGTCCAGAAATACAGTATAACGATAAGAGAGTAATTTCGTCTACTAGAATCTGCGTCACCGAGGTAATTTTTTTAAAGTTCAAAGCACACGATCCTACTGGTAATGTGGGGTAACAGTAAAGTGGGACAGAAGACTAGGACAAACAGACAAAAGGGGTAGGACAAAAGGGGTAGGACATGTAAAAGCAAGGTGCAGGTGAGGCGAGTCCAGCTAGTCCGATCAGAAGTTGTAAACAGGACACTTGATCGGACTCCGGAGCTGTTTACCGTCTGCTGGCGAGTATACTGGTCTCTGGTTACAGTCAGGAGCACTGTTTCCATACACTGTTTCCTCTGCTTAGCGATGATGTGCTGTCATCATCATACCTGGTAAGCTATCAAGCAAGGCCTTCACATAGCATAATCTTCAACTGCAGAGTCACGATCGGTGACGTCGTGTGTGCAGCGACCTCTTCGTCCCATCCCCATGTCAGCCCAGTAGTGGCACGAGAGAGCGGAGCAATGCATGCCCAGCGCCACCTGTCGCAGACCTCTCTCAATCCTCCGTTACACCTCGCCGGGAGTTGGGAGGCAGCGCCTACACGCCTGCGCGGGGGCATCAGCAATAATCGCCTTCAGAGTTCAGTCTCGGACGAAGAAATCCGCAGTTAGTCGGAGCGTGGTGCTTTCATTGACTGCCGGCGACATTTCTGACTCTGTGTCCTCCGTGGGGGAAACTAGTCAACCAGCTTCGCTTGGACGACCTTCGTCCTCAGCGCCCGCCAGAATGGGCGTTCTGACGTACTGCGTAGTTCTGGCTCTTGCCCTGATCGCCGTTATTCATGGTAAGATTCTCGTGTGATAAGTAATTAGTTACTGTCCGAGGATAGATTCATGTACATGTACATGTGTGCTGAGTGTTCCATGTTGACTATTGTGGTCGCGATCATGGGTTGCACTGCGTCGGCAAGCGATGTCTACGAACTGCAGTCTGGAAATTGTGACCCACGTTTCTCGGATCTATGCTCCATTGTGCGCCCAAGCCCTTCACGAGTGTGCGGTGTGCCACCGGCATAGGAAAGCCGATTAGTGCGGAGTTTTAGAAGGTTTAGTGGTTTTCATGCAGGGGGATTTCCGAGCGGGAGCGGCCTTGGGCTACGACCTACCCATAGTATTGTTGATTTTGACTCTCCCTGCGCAGGGACTGGGGGATCTGTCTCCATGGACGCGTCGCGATGCTAGGTTTCAGCGTAGCATAGAGGCTTGAGATAGTAACAGGTAGTGGCAGGTGTAACCCGAGAAGCCACATTTCCAATCTCCGCTCATAGAGCAACAGTGATCGGTCACAGCAGTCAAGGCACACAGCTTGAAACAGCACACCGCCTAGATCGAGTTGGGTCGGGAATGTCGTCGAGAGCTAGGTGGGGGTGCGCTGTGGATGGGGTGTTGATGGTGGTGGTGGTCATCACCCATTTTCACGAGCTCTTCGCGGGATGTTGGCGGAAAAGGATAGTACACGTCTCGTAGTTTCTGCGAGCTCTCCTAACATTTCGTGCGTCCTGTAAGCCATCCAGGTGCTTTCATGTTCTCACAACAGCGCCATCATCTGCCCCTTCCCTACCGCAGGACGGTGTGTGGATCATGTCTACAGGATACGGAACGTTACGTTCAAGTTCGGACAGTGTCTCATATCCTAAGGTGCATGTGCCGCGGACTCTGCTGCCTCAGCCCTGGCATAACTCTCTTATCCTGGCCGGGAATCTCGAAGGGAATAGATTGGAGATCAAGACCGATGTACATAATGTAACTTACTGTGGACCTATGTTCACTGCATGTGTATGCTGCCTATCAAGCGCTAGCTGTCCCCACATAGTCGCTACAGCCCTGTCAGTCCGTAGTCTTGCAGTTTCCCGCGACAAGCTGACAATTGTTTTGCACGCCCCGGCCACGCGTACCAGACGACAGTCTGGCGACAGTCGAATCCAACGCCCTTCGCGCTATGGTCCGTAGTATGGATTGGTTTGGTCCGTGATCAGAATGATGTTCGCGGAAGGCTCAGATCACACAAGACGCAACCACCTAGCTTAGTAGCTACATGGCTGTAGTGTAGGCTGTAGCAGTATCGAGTTCGACTAGACTTCTAATCTAGTGCTTTGACTGTGTAGATGGGCAGCCAAGTGACCGGTGACTCTCATACTCATACTAGTGAGCAGTGTGTAGCGCGATCAACCCGTGCAAAGGACGGAGCCGGAGGACCCTTTGCCAGGTTTAGTCTAGATCTACACGTGTAGTGGGACTATTCAGTATTCTACATGTGGGGCTATTCTCGAAATCTGGACTGCGGTCCAGTGCGGAGATATCGAGATATGCACATGGCCGTGATGCACATACTCATTTGTACGACGTTCATGTATGTACATGTATACGGTAATCATTGCGAGAAGCCTCAGAAGGAGACCATGTCACTGATTGTGAACTGCGAAAGGAAGTCCGCAATCCGAGTCTTGCACTTGTTGGTAGACGCACACCAGTCCATGGTAGATCTACACGGCATGGTATACAGGTGCGAGTCGGCTCTGATCAGACATCATAATCCTGATAATCAGGCATGATCTCGTTGACGATTAGAAAATGCCGGTTCCGGGCGCTTGCGCTGCGACTCATGCGTAGCTCAAAGCTGCTTTCTTGGTGGTCTTCTTGCTTCTCCTCGCTTCTCTTCGATTTGTTTTTTCAATGGTGGATACTTATCAATGACCATTGGCGTTGCCTTGGTCTCCAACGTGTCGGCGATAGTTCAGCTCAGCTAACCTGTAATCATCAGCTAGTGCTGCAATGCCAATGGCCAGAATAGCGGCCAGGATACTCGTACACAGCACTGAGTGTAATAGACTAATACCAGGAGAAGTCCAATTCAGTGTCGTATTGACTACACCCCCTCGCAGTATGAATCTGACTGATGGCTGTAGTGTCGAGCGGCCCCTTGATAGGAATTTTGTCGTGAATCATACTACTGATTGACAGTGATTGTACTATATAAATCAGTCTAATGCGTCGAAGTTTCGGACGGTCATCAACGTGCATGTTCGTTTGGTGGCTGATATCCGATGGAGGGGCCAAGTGCTGAGCTATTATTTCGCCTGCATGGCCCGTAAATCCTGTTCTACACCAGGGAGTCCTACTCGAGACTCCCTGTTCTGCACTGAGTGACTACAGTACTAGTATGCAGCCACGGATTTCTGCTTCTCACACTGGCAGCCATCCGCCACTCGTCGCCAAACTGTACACGATGGTAGATCTACAGTGTGCCGTCGAATTGTGTAGAAAGCTTTGAATGAAGCACCACTGCCGCATGATCTTTGGACTGCATGTGAAGTTTGAAGTGCCTATTGCCATAATATATATTATTGGATAGGCTGTAGTGTAGGGTGCATTACACACGGAATAGCATCGTTGTGCACAGACTCAGTGAGTTCATGGCTGGTGTATTGCCCGCTTGTACGCTGTAGTGACATAATTAATATTATGGTCTTGTGTACTGTTACCATGTGTTATCCTACACAGGCCAGCCAGATCCTGGTACGGGCTTCAACGCCAAGCTAAGCAAGACTCTGACGATCAGAAAAACCGGCTGGACCTCACTGACTGGCTACAGCACCGCAAGTATGCATATGAACAGGCCCGGTCATAATTTGCGCTGCCCCTTGATCATGCTTGATTACTAGCAACGGCTCAGTGCATGTACATGCATGTGTGCACACCAGGACGTTGTGCATTCACTCAGATCTCTCTAATCCGGACAGTCTGGGACCGGGCGCATGACTGTCCATAACTTGAAATTTATCATCCTCTTTATGGCTGCACGTTTTGCAGGATGCCCTGAAGTGATCCAGGCGCCATTGCCTGACCCGTTTCTATACGCTCAGTGCGGGTACAATTGCACAATACACCTGTGGGAATTCAGGTGCTAGGCTAGCAGTGGGCTATGTGAGACTGCTGGGCTTACGTGCAATGCCGCAGAAGTGAGCTAGACACCATCTAAAGTAGAGTGTGAGAACTGACAATGACCGTCGCAGTGTTGTCTCACATCATGACCCGGTTGACCTGATTGAATGCTGCAAGTTGCAAGCTGCAGCCAGGTTGTTACTTTTGTACGATGTGATCCCAGCCACTAATGCAAAAAGTACAGGTGAAAACTCCAAACAAGCTTCACGTCCTGAGCGGAGTGAAGAATTCAGGAAAATCGGGAAGTGGAGAATATCTTGGACTTTGGCAGAAGAGGAACAATGTTATCCCGAACTCCTTATGATAGCGGCAGTTAAATTTGCATCAGCGCGGCAGAGCGACTGTGTAGTTTTTGCTGTTTTTGAAGAGGCATTATGCTGGTTGAGAAATCGAAGAACGTGTCCCATTTTGTAGTCTACTCATCTCCCTAACACACAATCACTACCCTTAACTGGTGGTCAGGAATGTTGGCCAGGTCAGTTGTCCTCTTCGATCTACTGCTTCAAGCGGAGACACTGCAAACCCTGTTAATGTCAAAGAGTAGGAAATCCGCTCCCGGAGAATCCGGCTTACAATGGAGGTTTGCGTTGTGGAACATTGCATTATGTAGAAAGTACATCGATGGCATTGATGTATATTTTCGTCTTTAGTCCCAGGCTGGGAGTTTGCGCTAAATCCCGTTGTGTCTGTGTGTTGTTCTGTGCCCGGCAGAGGACGGAGCTAGACTGAAGTTTGTTCGCACGGGCTTCAACTTTGCCAACGGCGTGTACACCGTGCCCAAGTCGGGAGTGTATTTTGTCAGCGCACAGGTACGGGAAACCCTTTGCCGCTTGCCATCACATCATGGGAAACTCAACTGGGCCAACGTTTTTAAATACTCTAACTTACTAGTAGCGTCTTGGTTGCCCTAGAGGACGCCCAAGTTCACAGCTCTTGTTATGATAGTCCATATCTGCAGCGAAAAGAGGTACTGTAGCAAAGAGCGAGAATTAGGGGGCAAATTGCCCACACATTGATGTTTTGCGTGCATAAGTGCATAACGTAAGGCGGGACATTTAATTTATGACCCGACAACATCTGGCTAGACTCTGTAATTCAACAACTCAGGTCACCCGCTATTGGCTTTTCTCAAGTTCCATGAACGTTACATTTGGCGACTTTCCAACAGGCTCTACGCCCCTGTAGAAGAGAAGGGCAACATGTGACCAAATGAGCTCAGAACTGATACGCACCCTAACCGAGTATCCTACTTATCCCAGGTACATCTTGTACCTGCCATGGACAACTGACAACTTCATTTGCAGGTGGATAATAACTGTTATTTGCTTTTCATCTCGAATATTGCAGATATAAGATAATGAGTGTTGAGACGTCACAGTTTTGACCTTGCATGTCGCTGGGGATGAAGTGTGTTTACAGTGTGTGTGTGTGTGTGTGTGTGTGTGTGTGTGTGTGTGTGTGTGTGTGTGTGTGTGTGTGTGTGTGTGTGTGTGTGTGTGTGTGTGTGTGTGTGTGTGTGTGTGTGCGCGTGTGCGTGTGCATGTGCGTGTGTGCATGTGCGTGTCCTACACCAATGTCATCTTGGTACTACATACTATCCAGGAGGGAACTCACATTTTGTCGACTTTGCTCTGCATTCACACTGCAGGTTTCCATCCAGAATGGCAACGTTGGCTACTTCCGGCTGCTGGTCGCCATCAACAGCCAAAACAACGTTCATAACTCCATGCACGCCATCAAGTCCAATGCCAAGTGGTACATCTACTCCATGCATGTCAATGGTAAGTGCACGGTAACCGTCACTGTGAGCCATGCAGTCAGCTCAGTGTAGGGTGTGCTAGAGGCCAGTTGTAACAATCAGCACAGTGAAGACACCACGCAAATCACCCTTCCAAGTCCACATCTTTTCATCTACATTCGCGAACATGTTTAGCGACTATCTCACCACCTGCCAAACACCAGTCTCCAGACTGAAGAAAGCACTAGCCTCTGCTTCCTCACAAGCAACATTTTTCAAAAAATTCCACAAGCACATTCATTGCCTTCTCGTTAGGTGAATACAGGCAGACAGGAAACTAATTTTGTAGAACAGTATATATTACACAATGTTAGGGTGATATAAGCAGCGGTAAGAGGATTAGCGAGAACAAACACACAACGATATACATAATTATATGTAGCAAGTAAATAAACCGTCAGAAATACCTATATAGCAAGTGTTAGTTCTCAAACATATAAACATATTGCAAGTCCCACGGAGGGTATACAATTAAATCATCAGCTGACATGCGTTGTATGCAGTGGCAAAGCGACGTGTTTTGTTTGCCCTTGCTGGTTTGCCACTTAACACTTCGCGCCGATAAGCGAGTCGCTGAACCACACCATAATACATCGTGCCAATAAGCGAATCCACTGACTCGCTACCATTTGTTTGCACCACCATGACATCATTACATGGCACCATGACATCATTCTCAAAACTGTTTAAGCAGGCACAAGTGGTAGACGTGTGAAGAGGTCGGCGTAAGTGTGATGTGCATTGTGATAACAATAGACAGCGAATGTACAGAGGCTAGCAAGTGTTGGTATCCTACCGATAAGCTTTAGCGTGAATTTGTTCCTTTTTTTATAGCATATTTACATTGTATAATAGTCGATGTACTGACAGGTATTTTCTTTTCCCATATCCACCTGACGAGACGGCATGGAAGTATGCTGGGAAATTTTCCTTGTGATAAACCTGAAGCTACTTCTCTTCTGCAGTGACTCGGGTTGCATTTTCTCTCCTAAAAAGGCCGGTGGTCTTTTTATGCGTTTTAAACTGCACTTTGCATATACGGGTGCGTGATGGACCATTCAGCTTTGAAGACACTCAGTCTCACATTGCGGTGGATACTACGAGCAAATGTTCACGTGGAGGGTGGATGGTCATGAGTTGGAGCTCTCCTCCCTTGCTTGTGAATCCCTCTTCCGCTGTCATTACAACTGGGCGTGGCGTCAATGTATCTTAGGGTAGAAATTGCGGGCAGGTACTGGGTACACATCATCCAACCCTACTTGTTTTTGTTCATGTACTTTTTCTTGTGATAACTCCCTCTTGACTTGTGCGGTGAAGCAAATGAATCTTGACTACAAATGATTTCCTCACTGCGGCAAGGAGAGAGGAGTGCTTCTTGTATTTCATGTTTTCACGACCATCAGGAATGAAAACTTGAAGCAAGTTGGAGCAGATTGCTTCTATCTCCTTGCAGTCTAATGGCACTCTTCTCCATGGCATATTTCACTCTTCAGTCAGCAGAGCTCTCTGTTAGCTGATGTTAATATTTCTCTTGTTCAATTTTTCTCCCAGACATGGCCTGTAAAGATGGTGAAATGCACGTTTGCATATGTGTCTTGTGTGTGTGTGTGTGTGTGTGTGTGTGTGTGTGTGTGTGTGTGTGTGTGTGTCGATATGTGTGTCTCTATATGCATGCGTGTGTGTGTGTGTGTGTGTATGTGTGTGTGTGTGTGCGTGTGTGTGTGTGTGTGTGTATGTATGTATGTATGTATGTATGTATGTATGTATGTATGTATGTATGTATGTATGTATGGCTGTGTGTGTGTGTGTGTGTGTGTGTGTGTGTGTGTGTGTGTGTGTGTGTGTGTGTACACATGTACGTGTGTTTGTGTATGTGTTTGTAATTGTGTCTGCCTGTCTGTTTGTTGGCTCTTTGCCTGCCTATGTCAACATGCATGCGCATGCCCACAGGATTCCTGTACCTGAGCGAAGGTGACACCATCGTGGCAAACGTGTTCTCGCAGCGGGACACGCTCTTCCAGATGCTTACCACGTCCTCCTTCAGCGCTATGTACATGGGTCCAGTAAGTGATGTACAATGTAACTCAGTCCTTCTACGGGGCTATATTCCATCTGCCATGGTTCTCCGGGCGTATGTTCCATCTGCCATGGTTCTCCGGGCGTATGTTCCATCTGCCATGGTTCTCCGGGCGTATATTCCATCTGCCATGGTTCTCCGGGGCTATATTCCATCTGCCATGGTTGGCTCTCACCCTTCATCTCAACTGATTAGTTGGCCATCTTTTAAATAAAACATGCCAGGAGATGTTGGAGGCAGGAGATGTTAATAAATAATAAATAAATGAACGCAGAGAGCTGCATTAGAATTGCACACTGCTGAAATATACATGTACTTCTTCAGAACATTTCTCTCCAAGGCATCACACCCATGACTGCTTGTCCACAGAACATTTACGTAGATATTCGAATTTTACTAGAGGTACTGTGTCCAGTATACTGTAAGGGGTCGTCGCAAAAGTTTTCTGTCGTCCCTGAAACGAACATCGTTCATTTCGTACTCGGACCCCCTCCCCTCCCTCTGAAACGAACACAGCTTGCTATGCTGGACGACGAAAATCGCATGCATGTGCATGTCATATGTACAGTGTCGGTTGACTTGCGATTTTGGCTCGCACCCCCTCCCCCCCCCCCCCCCCCCAAATGAATCATGTTCGTTTCAGGGACGACATAAAACTTTTGCGACGATCCCTATGGGCGCACAATTCATCACATGATGCCCATAGCCTCGCTATGCTGCGTTTTTGCCTAGGGCATCATGCATGTTATTCGAACTGATAGAAACATCTTTGCAATACGATTATTGGGTACACGTGTTTGTATTGCTAAGATGTTAATATCAGTTCGAATAACACACATGATGACCTGGGCAAAAACAAAGCACAGCGAGGGCACTGAGCGTTTAAGCTCTCTCGTTATATTAGACCAATGACACGAACGTACACTGCAACTAGCAACAATGGTGTGGTGAGCGCACCTCATTCTACATACTATTTACTTTCACACTGATTTACTGGCTACTTAGGTCTTCCAGCACGTTGGTTTCTCAGCTGACCTGTGGGGCAGTCGAAGTTTCCGCAAGACCGGCTGGTCTGAGATCACGGGCTACAGCACTACGGCCTACAACTACCTGTGGAACAACGGCGACGGGTTCAGCACGAGCAGCGGCCGGTTCACCGCTCCTTGCGACGGCGTTTACTACGTGGCTGGTAACATTCGCATGGATGGCGCCAATGGTAAGCGGAGCACGTGGCCTGTATGCATTGCACCTTGTGCCAGTGGAAGAACCAAATGCCTCTAGCATCAGGCCAGTTTGCAAGTGAGTTATTGCGCTTGGCGTTGATACATGTACATCACGACCAGGCTGGAATCTGGATGACGCTGGCATTTTCATGCACTCAGGTACCGACTAGCATGCATACACATGCATTTGAAGCAGTTTCCCCTCACAATAGGCTAATGTTTCCACAAGCAGTAGTAACCTGGGCCCAGGTGTCTACTGCTTGTGGAAAGTCACGCCAGCATGCATCATTGAACACGGTGACTCTGTCGCTATCCTGTCACCGTGTACCTGCCATGTGCAGTACATACGAAGCTAAAGAAGACTGGGTCCGGTTTGAACGAGAAGTGGATACTTTTTTTGACGACCCGGCTGTATTTAATGTCGTCGTTCTCACCCTGTTGTGGCATGCCTTTCAGTGTTCAGTTCGTACCCACATTATCCACGGTTCTTCGTGGCAGAATGCTAAGTACGAGTATACAGAATTATTCTCGGTGAACCTGTAGCGCAACTGGCGGTTGAGTTGGCTATGGAGGCTAAGTATGGAGATCTGGTGTGGGAAGGAAGCTGAGTTGGCTATGGCGGCTAAGTATGGAGATCTGGTGTGGGAAGGAAGCTGATCTATAGTGTTTACATTTGTCTTTCTGCACTTATCTAACAGGCAACTACTTCCGACTTGTCGCTTCTGTCAACGGATCTTCAAACACTAATGCAGGGCTTGCATCAGTTGAAGGAGTCCCACGCGCTCCTTACTACACACAGAATGTTGGAGGTGCCGTACACCTGAACAAGGTGTGTTGGATAGACGTAAATACCATAGGTACTAGATCCAGATACAGGTACAGGTACCGATACAGAGATAGAGGATGGAGGAGGAGACAGGCACCAGCACCGTCAGAGATAGAGGCAGCTCTCAAAAACACCTCAGCAGACCTCTTGCAGTGCACCATACATTGTACATAACTATGCAGTCTTCACAGTAGGGGCACTAACAAATACCCACCTGTCTTGATCAGAACCACTAAAGTCATTCTGAGTCCCCAAGTGTACTTGAAAGGCTGAAAAATCAACTTCATCCAGTGAATGTTGATTGTACGGGCAGAATGTGTGAAACGAATCATGGGGATGAAATCTTCAGAGACTAAAAGACACTGCGTAAACTTTCCGAAAGCGTGTCTCTGTTGTTGAATTAGTGGTGTATGGATGCATGGATGGATGGTGTGTGTGTGTGTGTGTATGCGCTTGTGTGTGTGTGTGTGTGTGTGTGTGTGTGTATGCGTTTGTGTGTGTGTGTGTGTGGGCGTGTGGGCGTGTGTGTGTGTGTGCACGTATGTACCCTTGTGGATATGTTGTGTTTGTTTATAGGGTGACTGGATTTCTCTCTGGGTCTACTCAGATAATGACAATACTTTTGTCATGCAATCTGAGTCTAGCTTCCACGTCATGTTTCTGGGTCCTAGAAGCGCCTCAGCACCAGGTTGGTTGCTGTTCATCCTACTTCCTTGTATATTTTCATTCGTTGACAGTTTTGAATTTTCACTCTCTAAGATTATGCCGTAGAGCGCATTTCTGTGATGACGCACTTTATTTTCAATATGTCACTTCGCCTTACACCAGCAATTTCTAAACTAAAGTGACCACCTGTATTTTTACCACAGGCCTGGCACTTCTGAAAGCTAGATATATTTATCGAGCAAAAAAATTGGTTGGAGCAAGAGGAGAGAAGCCATCACTGGACCAACTGGGAGCTGTCAGTTGGCTTGGACTAGCATCGGTTGGTTTTCAGCACAAGCGCTCAACTGTAAAGATCCTGCTGTAATTGATCGGGAAAAATTCCCGGATACGATCAACTGTCTTGAACTGGATCGTTGGTGCCTGAAAGAAATTTTTCCCGTGCTTTTAACACTCTGCATGGCAAGAAGGTAGAGTTCCGACCACCTCTCTTTTCATCTTGAGCGTTTGCTTGAAATAGACACATATTAAACCAAGGTATTTCCTAGGCCGTTCCTGACTTGCTTACAGGAATATTTCGACTCCACAAAGGATCATACCTAGGTGGGACAGGGGTGGTTCAATTAAGCTTGCACCCAGATGTCCTAGACGTGCATTTTAAGGAAACACCAATAGCGCTTGTTTGGCTGGAGAAAGACGGCATAGCAAGCTTGTCAAGTAGCGACCTTGGAAGCTACAGTGCATGACAATAACCCAATGATGCATGGGTGATGTGCAATTGATGGTTGTAATTGTGGTTTGAAACAGGGTTTGGTTGTGGAGATCGCTATTCACTCTGACGAAAAAAAGAAGGATTGTCTTGTTGCGGCTGTCATTTATGACAGATTCTACCATATTTTGTTATTATGTTCAAGTAGTCCATTGCTGTGGATCGTCATGTGTTACTCGTGGCTGCTATGGGTACCACTTCAGTTTTACCCATATTTTTACTGTGTTTTTTTGGATGGGATCATCATGGGTTGGTGGCGTAACTGGCGGAAATGAAGCTCTTGATCTACCCGATACATGGATCCATACCACTGCTTTCCCTGATTTAGTCCTAGGACGGTATTCTCTTCTTGCACCTTTAAAACATTGTGCCCTCTGGTGTTCTCTGCGTTGTTTGCAGCGTTCATGGCAGATCTGAACAGGGTGATCACCATCCCAAACACCAATCCGTACAAGTTGACTGGTTAGTTTGATTGTGGCTCCTAATCCTATTAAATTTTATACTAAAGAAAAGGGGACCAATAAACTACAAACTGGCTCTCCATCCAAGTCCATTCTAATCCTACTTCCGAATCCTTGTCTTGGTCTGATGTGATTTCCACTTCTTTTGGAGGTATGTTTTTACGAGAAAACCTTTTAAAGAGAGACCTTGAGAGAAGGAGGAGGGGGGGGGGCATCAGTTTGTGCTAAAAGGGTTTTCTTTGCACTGTAAATGTCGTGAACACTCTGTACGGCTTGGTCCTTGGTAATTGCCCAGCGACTTTCTACACACCACAGTCTGCCCCAATCTCAGCCGTGGTCCCCCGAACCACCTTCTGGTTTCCATTGGAGTGAGATGAGTGACATTCCCTGGAAACTGCTTGCAGCACTTCCACCTACCTACTTTGATATTGGTAAATCACTGAACTTGGCCACTCTGTTTAGGTTTGTATTGCAGTGGACAATGGATTCACAATACCTCCTTTGGCCCTTGAGTGTCCATAGCTGTTTAGTGTGATTGCTTTTGGCGTGGATTTTTTTTCCAGTTTACCGAACCACTGGCGCACCCGGTCTCTATGCCACGAGTGGCTTCAACGCTGGCTCAGGCACGTTCTTCGTCCCTTTCACTGGACTCTATGCCGTCAGCTTCCTTGTGCGCTTCAACAATGCCAAGGGTCTGACGCAGGTGAGTGGGCGAATGTGACATTGTGCTGACGTAGAACCACCACAGTTCGGTGAGCAAACTTAACGCCGTTCCACCGTTGTGCAAGTCAAAGTAGACCGAGCAAGTGCATGAGAGAGGATAAGCAGAAAAGTGAGGGTCTGAGTCCACAGAAATGTTGGCAGCCACACTGTCAAAAGAACAATACTGTATTTTTGCGAATTAGCGCCAGGGTGCTTAGATATTTCAGGCCCAGCAAGAGGCGAGGGGATTATTTTAGAGAGTCGGTTAGATGCATGCCCAGAGTAATATCAAAAAGTAGGGATGAACCGATTATACCTATTACGCGTAAATTTGTCTATTTTTATTTCACTCAACTCGTGGCCCATGACCAATTGGCACACAACGTGGTCAATTGTTAATTCCCAACAATCAACTACTGTGTCATCGTTATGTTTTGGACTACTCGTTTCCGATGATGCATACAAAAAGACCCTTGTGTGAAGTTTACAACGTTTCTAAGCTGCAGCTGCGCCACATGCATTTTTGGTTAGTATACTTGGGAAATGGAGTAAGTTTTGCACAAAGCCCGACACTGTCTCCTAACAATTAAAATGCTCTATTGCTTATGGCACTGGTTCTTGCTCTCTGCAGGCATATATCAATGCTGGAGGACCATCCGCAGGAAATAACTATGTGTATGCATCTCGATCTTGGGCAACGTCTAGAGCAATGGATTCCTTTACACTGAAGGGCAGCGCAGTGGTCTATTTGACTCAGGGCAACCAGGTTTCAGTGTATGTGCGATGCGCTGTGAAAAATTGTCAGATCGGCACCGAGTCATCCTTTAGTGCGGCCCTTCTGGGACCAAACTTGCCTCATCCAGGCGTACACGCCGATGTTGCCAGAGACACGAGGGTAAGCTTGACGGTGTCATGTGATATACTGAGTGCAAGAACTTGCAGCTGCTGTAACCTGTCTTATCTCTTCCTCTGTCTCCTCTCTCCTTTCTACTCTATACTCTGTCTCTCTGTCTCTCTGTGTGTCTCTGTCTCTCTCTATTCCTCTCTCTCTTTCTCCTCCCTCTCTCTCTCTCTCTCTCTCTCTCTCTCTCTCTCTCTCTCTCTCTCTCTCTCTCTCTCTCTCTCTCTCTCTCTCTCTCTCTCTCTCTCTCTCTCTCTCTCTCTCTCTTTCTCAAATCATGCACCTGCTTTCAGGCGTAAAAACCCTGTTGTAGAGGTCTCAGTCCTCATTTGTTAGACTTACCTGTCTTTATAAATGTAACTTACTTTCTCTCTCTCTCTCTCTCTCTCTCTCTCTCTCTCTCTCTCTCTCTCTCTCTCTCTCTCTCTCTCTCTCTCTCTCTCTCTCTCTTTATTATCTTGTTACAGTCATGGATAGTTGCTTCATAACTTGTTTCCATGTGATTTCTTCTATTTCAAAGGTGTTTTATTGGAAATTTTACTGACTGGACATTTTGATCCTTAACTCAGTCTAAGTGAACATAACGCGAACCATGATTTTTCTGCCCTAGATCACAACCAAGTGGGCGAAGGCGAGTGTGTGGAACACCGCCTTTGCCACGGGCACTGGACTGTATGCCACTGATGGAAACTGGGACGGTACGCAGTACATCGCTGCAACTCCAGGTAAGAGGATGAAGGCGGCGAGGAATGTCATGAGTAGCCTCTGTGTGCTTTCGGGCTAGGCACTTGGCGTGCACCGTTTCAGGTAACCTAGCTGTAGAACGTGGAGCATGTCCGAGGTTGGTGCAGGAGAATGAACAAACTACGGGTTCTAGACTGATGAGAACGAATAGCAGTGGTGAGAAAGAGGGGCACAAGGTTTCTTGAATCATTGGAGAGCTGGCCATTCAGAGTAAGTATATTTGAATGACGGCTACCCCAACATGTTGGCGAAAATGATTATGTGAACCAAAACTCGCTCCAGATGCACACTAAGCTGGAGGTCATAGCAGTAAAACGAGTTTCTTGTACGTGGTGCACATGTGTATATCTGTCCTTCCGTCCATCCATCTAGTGCATATGTGTGCATGCCGATGATGGCACCCTTAGTTTAAAAGCCTCGTCCACAAAACCATCACTAAAGTCAACAGTAGATGGTGTATGGGCATATGTTGATCTAAGTCCCCGCCTGATGTGTTTCATTGTGTTTCAGGTATTTACTATGTGGCATGTAACCTGCGTCTGGATTATGCCACTCGGTCACCGCTGACCCGTGCCACCATTGCCATCAACGACAAGTACGACTATGCACACGGTAAGGAGGGACTTCCCCTTGTCGCCTGGCCTTAGCTTAGCCTGATAGGAGCCATGCAGTTGACCTGATTTAATCTGTTGCTGGGTGTGAGGTGGCAACATCATGTCATGTTAGAGCGATTCTTCAAAGAAAATCCACAAACACGTTTGTGTTAGAAGCTGTGGAAAAAGGATGGTGAACATCTCACGAAACGTTGTTTTTGCAGATAAAGTCGGTTGATGAGCGAGCCAAAAAACATGCGCAGATTGTCAAAATCTGACCAGCCTATTGCAAGTTATGGTAGGTTGAAGTGCGCTTGTTTGTACCTCACATGGAAGCAACTCAGAGGCAGGTAAATGGCACAGGCTGAAAAATATACTCGGCGGACAACGATGAAATGCGTACCAGAGGCAGAAGGGTTAGTGCCAGTCAGAGCATGAAAACAAACAACATTGAAGCATATTGGATACTTGATGCGTTTCATCTGAACGTTTGGGCATAAGAGTGACTTTATTATGAGCCAATATCTTAGTTGTAGAATGTCAGTACCGTTCGTCAGTTTCGTGCAATATTATCGCATGAGCTGATTGTTCAGTAACTGGTGGTGGTAGTGGACATTCAAATGATAGCGTGAGTTGTAGTTCCTTGGTCCTTTTCTTTTCTATAAATTTATCCTTGGCTCTCCATCTGAGTCCACCATCTTTCCGTTCTACGTTTATTATTTGCTCAACATCCGATTTTCAATACATTTTCACCTCTACGAATAAAGGCTTGGGAAACTGTGTGAAAGTGCTCATTTGGGAGAGCACAGAGCGTTTCTGATTTTTGCTTTGCCATGAAACTGACTGTCATTATCGATTCCAAATGAATCCCTCCCTCTCTATCGTATGTTGCTTTACCCCATATGCAGGCATTCATGGCGTGGATTCATCTGGCGCTGCTTTCGTCACTTTCACAATGTCTGGCTTTGTCCGCCTGAAGTCTGGAGACACTGTGTCTGTTTGGGCGTACAGTGACGTAAGTGGCCCATGTCTTGAAGCGAGCTCTCGATCAGGGCCGCGAAGTTTCCAGGAGATCGACACCTACCAGCCGGCATTCTTGCTGGCATGTTAGGCTTAGTGTATTCCTGGGCTTGTGTCCTTGTTCGGACTTGGGGTACTTGGATACTGCACACGTGGCAAGCACCCAACCTGTAAGAGACATGAGCCGTGATCCTAGCTGCTGGATTTTGGGTGTTTTAGGGTGTTGCAAAACTGTGTCATATGGACGCAGTACTGATGTTGTCATTGCAAACACCCCCATTTCAACTACCAAATTGCTTTCTGGAAGCAATGAGCTAACATCAAGGTAAATGTAAAGGTGGCCCGTATTCAATTATGACCGTAGGTGCAAGAGGTGTTAGAAATCTCTTGTTTCACAGAGCTCGGCATAATGAGGCAGCGCTCATCTCCTCTCCCACGTCGCCTTTGACTCCCCAACCGAAGCTATGCCATGGATGAACTCCCTAAAGCCTTTATGTCTTGGAGTCTGTGTGTGTGGGTGGGGGGGGGGGGGGGGGGTGGGGGCAATGGTTTACGAACGCTGCGAGAGTAACGTTCTCTGCTGTTCTACATGCTCCACCGCTCTGCAGGACACCAGCTACACGCTTAGTACGATGAGTGGATTCTCTGTGAACCGCATGGGCTCTGCCTTTGACCTGCCGTCCTTCCTCGCCGACCTGAACACCAATCAAACCATCTCCAAGACCGTCTACACCCCACTGGCAAACTGGAATGCAAATGCTGGTTACGGCACGTTCACCACAGGATTCAGCTTTGACGAGCCGAGTGGTAAGGAAAATGCTCCATCACAAGCATTTCACTCCAGTTGACAAGAAATACGGAGGAATATCCCCGGTACTGGTCGTTCTTGGCTACCAGTTCTTGAGCACAGCACGTGTCTGTAGACAACACTCTGCATGCCTCTTTTTCTAGATCTGCTTTGCTGGCCAACGCTTATACTCCAACCGTATGCTGTGCATGTCACCTTCAGGTGTGTTCACCGCCCCGTATACAGGCAAGTATGTGGTGACGGCCAACATTCGCTTCGACAATGTCAAGGCCAACGCCTACTATCGCGTGGTGATCTGCCCGTACACAAGTGCCACTGCGTTTTCCTGCAGCGTGAACAGTGGACTTCACTCAATCCGAGGAACTCTCGCCACTGTAAGCTTCTTTTGTTGCCTTTGGAGAGGCCTTCAATTAAGTTATAGTAACCACTCAATTCATCTGTCTCAATGTTGAACAGGGTTTATGTGTGAATAATATCTGTAAGAACTCAGATGGTGAGCCAAGGAAAAATTGTAACATGGAAATTGTGGGCACAAGTTATGCGATCGAGTCCACCAACTAAACCAGATTTTGAACAGTCAGACGTGCACAATCTAGCACAAAACTGACAAGGAGTACTGAGACTTGACATTTTGACTCAACAGATTGGCTTTGGCACTTGAACAATATTCTTCAAAGTCTGCAGTCCCACTGAATCATGTGCTTTCTTTTCTGCCGGCGGGTACTAACTCTCTGAACCTTTTGAAATGTCCCTACAGCCACCAAAATACTTCTCTGAGAGTGTACAAGCTACCATTCCGCTGACCGCCGGCCAGAGGATTGGTGTCTTTGTTTTTGGCAACAAAGTGCCGTACACCGTCAACAGTGAGAGTGGTTTCAGCGCATGCTTTATCCCTGGAAACCCGTACGGATTCAATGGTGATCTTAATGGCAACTTCAACCTGGCGCCTACTTCTGGCAGCAGTACGTAGTATACTCCGTGTTTTTGTGTACTTCTCTGTGTTATGCTGTGCTACTTCTACTGTGCAATATGTCATCACCAAGCTAAACGTACAATACGCGTATGTGTGCTGCTGCTGCTGCTGCTGCTGCTGCTGCCGCCACTGCCACCATGGTTGCTGCTGTTGCTACTGCTGTTGTTGTTACTGCTGTTTTTGTTTTTGTTCATGACTGATGGCACAAGGCTCAACTGAGGTTGGGCTCACTGAAGGGTCCACTTGAAGACTTAAACTCACCTTGGACTTGGATTCGTGTTGATGAAAGCCCATCTAGACTAGAGTCATGGAGAGTTGCCAGAGTTTGTGCACAAACTTCATCATCAGAAAGAGACAGATCATTTGATTTGACAATGGTGTGTCAGAGAGGGTTTTTCATGTAATGAAGTGGCTGCAGTGGAGCTTGCGCACCATTAAAGAAACAACGATGCTGCATTCGAATACTTTATGGCCTGCACCTTCCTTTATTATTCATCTTCTTGTCTGTGTGCAGCTTGGAGAGAGGTGAGGAGAGCCTTTAGAGTCAAAGACTCACGCACGCCTCAGCTGTGGTCCACTGGATTTACCCAGGCTACTGGCTCAATGACCATCCCAAGCGATGGCACCGGTGTCTACATAGTGTCAGCAAACGTAAGGCATTCACTCAGCTCCCTCCGCATGCTCTTTCTAACTTAATGCACGGCTGGGAGAATTGCACGTGCCGGCGAGAGGTGACTTTGTACTGAGTCCTCTGCTAGAATATTGTGTGTAGATATACCTGGGAGCTCGCTCCTTAGCATCACGGGCAAGGGTATGCCCCTACATCTCATTTCACAGCGTGGTATGCTAACTTAGCTGTTTGCCTCCGAGTGTGTTGAATAGAATTTTATGGCAGCCTTGTTCATGTTCTTGTTTGGGCTGTGGTTATCTAGATTCGCTTTGACAGGGCCAGTGGCAACAACTTCCGCCTTCTGATTGCTATCAACGACGTGAGGACCACGGCTAATGGCCTTAGCTCCATGCAGGGAACACCTGTCAATACCTACTTCAGCCAGCAAGTGGTCGGAACTGTTTACCTGAAGGGCGGCAGCCGCATTTCCCTCTATGTGAGTCGAATGCTTGTACCACAGACAAGTGTACTTGGTGCAATGCGTTGGGCTTGTGGTTGAACTTCACTGCTCCACATTATTGTGTCTAGAAGGCAGAAGTCGCTTCTTCTCTTATGCCCTTTCACTATTACGCACATGTACTGGCTAGCGAAAAGATCTGTTGCAGCTATTGAGCTAAGAGTCCGCATGAGGTACACAAGTGGAAGCAAAATAGGGCTGTTTCGTTGTTCAGAGTTAAGAGCTAAGAATCCATTATCCCAGAATTCACAGTATAAAATGATCATCCCTGTAGTCACAGTATGCACAATGAGATAGGCTGGGGAAGGCTGGGGAAGCCATAGGATTTGAGGGAACCGGAGGGGGAGAGGTTGAGAGAAGATCGACTACATGGTGACGACTGAAATGAGACTGAGTATCCGCAGGAGAGAGAAACTAAGTATGCGCATGAAAGACGAGTTGCGTTGGCCACCTAAAAGAGACCTAAATAGAACTGTGTATGGCATGTGATGTGACTAAGGACGGCTTTTGCTGCTGCTGCCCCTCGTGTCAGATTTACAACACAAGAACGACTGCGACATTTTCCCTACAATCGGAGAGTGGCTTCTCAGCTGTAATGGTATCGGGCAATCAGTACACTCGCCCATCATTCTTGGCTGACTTGGTATCGACCGTGAACATTATAGGTACTGGGTGGAAGTTGGTGACCAATTACATGTTCCATTCAGCGCAATTCTACACTTGGGGTCTGCACAAGTTTGGAAATGGAACATTCAGCAAAGGATACTATAAAATACCCCAATCCGGTAAGGAGACTAGAGTCTGGACATATCTAATGACATGCGTAAATAGAAGGGGGTCCAATGCTCCAACCAATGTCAATTAGTTTGTACTGTCAATGGATTGGTTTTAATATGTTATTTGTTTGATTTCTATTTTGTATGTGCAACCAGTGTTCCTCTCTCGTTACTGTGTGCTTTCTCTTTTGCATTTCATACAAG